GCAAGTATATATTGTATTTTCAGGATATTTTTCTAAATACTGAAGATATTCACTGCTGACTCTGGCAATTTGAAGTATTTTGATTGCAGCCACTTATGTTCAACTGGAACATGCAACTGGAAAGAATTTCACACTTTTACATTCTAATAAGACAAAGTCTTTTGCATTCCCCAATTCCATTTCTGCCTATTTGGCAAATTGTGGGGAAAATATTGCTAATACTGTCACAACTGCAGAGGTTTTCTTGCTATACATGTATGTGCAGATGCCCACATTCTTACTAGGCATACACACAAGCCTCAATCACTGCAATTTATTTTATATTCTGAGATTGTTTTTACCATTTATTGATTAAATGATCACAGATTTAGAGAATAATGCATGTTAGTAACAGGCTCCTCATAGTATTCACAGGAACTAATTCTGCGTTTGACAAGAAATCGCTTGTGCTTGGCCTGGATTTACTGTACTTATTTATGCAGCGAGACAAAACCTCCCAATTTTTTCATGGCATTTCAATGTGCTGTTCAGTCTCTATATATAGACAGCCACTGCATATGTCGGAGCTACCTATAAACATCATTACTGAAAACATGGGTTTCACTATGCTGGGTTTTTACTCACTTATGCACAGACAGAATATTCTGTTAGCATTTGTGCTGAAATCTTCCTCATTGATGAGTTCAAGTAATATTCTTTACTAAATAAGAAATACCAAGGAAACAAATGCATTAGAGAAAAAAAAACAGAGAAGAATAATTTCTTCAGCCATGAGATCTGCATGCTCTCAAAATTATGAACAATGGATGGAATCCAAGGTCAAAAATTCAGTGGTGGCAGTAACAAAAACCACTGACAAACAGTATGGAAAATTCACTGCAGCAAAAGTCAGGGCAAAGCTTGCATCAGTGCTTTAGAAAAGACAAATATGTTGTGTAATATATTCAGAGCTGTCAACCCAGCAACCTGTCCAGGGACTGTGATACTCATGATCTGGGAGACAAAAAGGAGGAAAGTGAAGGGATGGTTTTAAAAAGAGAGAGAGGGAGAGAGAAGTCTGTAACAAATGATGCCACAAAAGGTGCACACTGAAGGAAAATAGTGATAGAAGCGAGTGTAGGAAACGTTGTTTGAAATTTAAGCCTTAAGAATTCAAGAAAGGAAGCAAGGACCTCTAATAAAAAAATTTCTTTCTGTGACTTTATCATTAATAATCTTTATGTTGTTCCCACAAAGAAAATTTCATTATAAATCCAGATTTTGATGCAGAAAGAGAATACCATCTATCCTAGCTCAAAAAATGTGTCAATAGTCTGTCCCACCTGAACAAGATGCTACAGAAGATAAGCTGTGCAAAAAATAAGGTAGTACAAAGAAAGGTAGAAATTTTATTTTCTTCCCTCTTGGATGGCCTTTGGGAAAGACAGGAGTGTAGAAGAAACTGTATTTAAGTTCTGTAGCATCTTCTTGTTCTGTCTGGACAGCAGGCAGACCTAAAGCCCTGGGAATGTGCTCTGCAGCTGCCCAGACACAGCATCAGAAGGTCCTTAAGCCAAGAGCAGCACAAGGCTGTGCCTGAGGTGCCCCTCCAGACTGAAGAGACCAATGCCTGCATTTCTTCTTTGTCTCTGTTGCTGCTCAGAACTAAAAGCAGCCAGAGCTGTCTAACTCTTTTCTTTCAAGAAGCTGCAAAGATATTAAAGTTGAATTTTGGAGAGACTTGGGAATTTTCATGTATTATTCAGATTTGAACATTTAAGAGGAAAGTAGTAATTTGTCAAACAGCTGTGTTACTCACAATGTTTCATTTAATACCCAATATAAATTCTATGAAACACTAGCACATCTATGACAGGCTAAGACTATCCCTTGAGCCAGCTCAAAGATGGGTATTTTTCCCTTGTTTTTCTTTTTTATTCCATTCCCAAATTCATTAACATTACAATTAAAGATCAAGAATAGTTTGTGACTTATGGCAAGGCATGTTGTGCCTTCTTTTCTGTCTTCTTTGTGAAGTATTACAAGGATCCTAACCCTGGACCATGTTTAGATTGCAAATTGATGAATTATGAGAATAACTTTAAAACAATTTCCTTTTAAATATTTCACTTCATGCAGTAGCACAGATCTGGAGACTGTGCTTAGAAACATCCCTCAAAAAGGTCTGCAAAGCTTTCCGAAACAAATGAGATACCTGTTTTGGTTTTTAAGTGACCAGTTTGGTGTCGTGGCTTCTAATTAAGGAAGATCTGCCAGCAAACCCACAGGTAGCTCAGCCACACAGGTCTTAATAGTCTTCAATGTGATGACTTCAGAATTAGGTCTTTTACTTGTGTCACTTCTCCATGTTTCATTCTTTGGTCAGAACTAGGTACCTGATGCCATTCAGGTAATTATTAGTCAATATTAAAGTTCTGAAAGTAATCCTGACCATACTTTGAGAAAGGTAAAAATGGTATTAGAGTTGGTCAGAATAAAATTAAAACAAAATTGGCAAAAAATAATGGGATTTCATAACATTTCCAGATTTTTTTTAATACAACTTCCAGCTCACAATTGCTATCTACATGATACATATATGTGCATATATCTGTGTGCAAGAGAAAGAGATACAAGCACAAAATTAGGAAAGCTATGGCAATACAAGATCAACAATTCCAGAATTTTCAGCTATTTTGCTGAGAACAATAAAATCTACCTGCATTCCTATGGGCAAACAGTCATAAAAGAATAATGATGAAGCTTTTGATCCATCCCTTCTTAAAGCATATTTCAAAAACTTCCTAATGAGAAAAAAAATGTCTGATTTAGAAATCAGCATCTGTAACATTGTAACATTAACTGTATCCAGAATTATGCAAATTAAATTTTAAAATAGGAAATATATTTATTTTATAATACATTTTTAAAAATACACTTTACTTAACACTTGAGAAAATTTGGATAAATTATTCCAAGCAAAATGTGAAGTGAAACATCTCCTCTGCTGTTTCAGAAGTGGTATTTAATGAACTGTTGACTCCCACTGAGTTTGTCAAGGCAAACAAGGGTCTGTATTGATGGGGCAGATATTTCACAATTTTCACTGCCTGAACTGTAGAAAGCATCCCAGCAATGAGTAGTCCAGAACATGCAGATCCAGTACCATCAGATAAAGTACTTTGATTTTGCATATTGAGATGACTAAATATATACAATCTGAATAATAAAGTCAACTTCAAAGGTACATAGCCTCAGTTAAAAGAGATGTAATGCAAATACTGACTGTATTAAAATACAGTTAATTTTTTCTGCCTGTTACCATGGTATTTTCTGGGTTGTTAATCTCATCACATTTATTTGGTGGTAATTTACTGTTTCTTACACTTTTTTTTCTAATGTATGTATAGAACACTAAAATTCAGACATAGAACCATCAACAAAATGTTTTGTTGTACCTCACTATTCTTTTTTTTCCACTGTAATTCAGAAACTGGACAACAACATTAAATCCATAGCTCTTAATAAAAATCCTTGATTGCTAAAGGAATCACCAAAATCACCAAAAAAATTAATGATTTACTGGCCCCTCTTAATTGCATCTAAAAGTTTCCAACATACTGCATTATTTGCCCCACCTGGATGCAGAACATCAGAAAGCAGTTATTGGAGAGACCTTCTAGGGTCAGAAAATTATTTATCTGAAAGCAAGCCAGGACAGGTAAGAGTACCAGCGAGGTTAGTGGTGCACAGAATTGTACAGATTTATGTAGAACTGCACCACTTAAGAACCTGGACTATTTCACATGTAGTTCTTGTGAAATTTGACTGCTTTTAAAAATAAGTAAATTAATATTTGAAAAACTGTACTTCTTTGCAGCAATAAACAGTCATTTTTAAGATAAAATTAACAACATTTTCTCTATTCTAAATTATTTAGAGTATTTTCAGGCTAAGGTATACATAAATATCACATGGTGTTGAGTCTGCCTCTTACCCAAATAATCTTTTCCCTAATTCTCGAAGTTAAAATTTTTACTGTTACCTTCTACCTAGATCAAAGGTGCAAGATCTTTACTAAAATTGCCTCTCTGTGGAAGGCAGAGCTGTAATCCAACACATATCATACTAGTGATATCATCTGAAATAAAACACAGATTGACACATTTAATTAGTATGTTGCTCGTACCTCTGAATTTTCACCCATGAATATTTGAATTGATATTAAGCAATATGAAGTAAAACTGTCAGCTTTTCAAATAGTATAATATTATGTAGGTATAAAAGTTTTGCCTGTATTATTTTCTCTTAACTCCCTTGTCAAATCTGATTTCTGAAATTATTATCAGGCTACATTATCTAAGATATATCTAAGATAGCTTTAAGATGCCATGTACCAAAGTAGCAAATCTAATTAGGATGAAATATTTGATGTATAATGGAAATAACATTATCTTTTATTTCCAGATGTCTGTACCATATAATCCCCATCCAACAGCATGCTGGATTTCCTGCCTGAGCCTGCCTTATCTTTTTTGCATAATATTTTCAGATCATTAATACATGCAATTCTTGATTCTAAAACCTTGCCCTCTCATGCAGATTTTTTAATTTCATATTACATTTTTAACCACTGTTTGTGGTTTCCAAAAGCTCTAGATACATTGCCTCTTTCAAATAACACACATCACCTACAGTTCCAGTTCAGCGGTAACTATAAAGATGCAGACATCGGCACAAGGCGTGTATTAAAATTCTTATTATTTCAATATTAAATAGTCCTTCATTTAAAATTAATCAATACTTTAGTCAGTGGCGTTAAGTGAATTAGATGGTTTTACAAGAATACAGCCTTAAGGGGAGGGGGGAAAAAACCGGAATATCTGAAAAAGCAGAGCCCCTTTTCACATGTCTCAGGAAGAGAGGGAGGTGGAGCCTCAGTTCTGGTTCTGGTGCGTTTCTGCTGAAGACAAACTCACATTTGCTCTCTGTTCTGTCCCCCTTCCCCTGCTGTCTTGCAGCGAACGTGTGCGACAACGAGCTGCTGCACTGCCAGAACGGGGGGACGTGCATCAACAACGTGCGGTGCCAGTGCCCGCCGGCCTACACGGGCATCCTGTGCGAGAAGCTGCGCTGCGAGCGGGAGCCGGGCGGCTGCGGGCGCAGCTCGGCCCCGCGCGGGCCCGGCGGGCTCCGGCCGCTGCTGCCGCTGCTGCCCGCGCTGCTCGCGGCCCGCGCCCGCTGAGGCCTCCCCGATCGACGGGACACAGCCCCGGCCCGCCGCGGCCGTCCCTAAGGAAAAACCAGTCACAGTAACCACGTACAAACTCTAGGAAGGCCGAACTGAACTAAGCCATATCGCTCAGTCACGGACAGGGCTGCGAGTGGAGGGCGCTCAGCTCGGACTCGAGACACGCTGGCAGCCGCCTGTTCTGTCCGATCCATCAGCTGCGGGACTGACGTGGCTTCCACAGCCCCCGGAATGGGAGAGAATCCGGCAACATTCGCTCCTCCTCTCTGGTGCGCTCCCGTACCTCCGCCCGGTGTGTGGACTGACCAAACCAAGGCATTCTTTGCTGTCAGTGCATTGTGGGTATAAGGAAATCTGTAAAAGCTGCCATATTGGCCTGCTTCAGTCCCCAAATCCTTTCCGACCTGTGCTTTAGTGAACGTTGCTCTGTAACCCTTGTTGGTTGAAAGATTTCTTTGTCCGATGTTAGTGATGCACATGTGTAACAGCCCCCTCAATAAAACTCAAGCCAGTCATATCCTTGTATACCTTAGCAGCACTGCATCGGTAAGATGCTGTGTTCACCTACTGTACAAGAGTGGCTATAGGACAAAAAGTGTATTTATCCTTTTGTATTCAAATGAAGTTATTTTTCTTGAAATAATGTACAATGTAGATTTTTTGTATTATTGCCTATTTGTGTTACCAGACAATTTATTAATGTATTTAATTCTAATCAGGTAAGACAAAACTATTACTTTTTATTTAGTCCTTTTCTTTTTCCTTTCATTTAATTGTGCAGAGATTTCTCTGTATGGGCAACGTGCTGGCATCAAAGAATATCAGTTTACATATATAACAAGTGTAATAAGATTCCACCAAAGGACATTATAAATGTTTTCTTGTTGCTTTAACACTGGAAGATTTCAAAGAATAAAAATTCCTGCATAAACAGTTCCAGGATGACTTACTGCTCTTTCTTAAGGCCTTTTTAGAAAACAAAGAAACAAAAAAGTTTATGGTTTTACCATTCAGTATCTAGAAGAAATCCAGATTTAACAGTGGAAATTACATCATAGCAATCTAACCTCGCTTTAATTTTACTGCTGTTACTTTGCCAACTTAACATTTTAAGGGCATCATTTGCTTGAGGAAGATTTCCTCAAATCTGAACCTTGAGAAAGTTGAACAGTTCTCATCTTTGTTCTCTCAGTTAATCATATACATTATTCCAAAACTAAATTACAAAGTATCGTAGAAGCTGGTCTTCAATTCATATCTTTTTTTGTGGATTCCAGCAATAAGCAGATAGCTCCACAGCTTACATTATTTCTCAAAAAACTTCATTAAAAAGATATGTTTATATATGTACTAGTCTGCTTAAGAAACTGCAAAAACAGCAGCAATCACAAAAAAGCACCAAGATTTAACTTTTAATAAAGTCAGATTTAATATTTAGAAAGACTGTCAAAATATACAGCAGTGAGTAGATAAAAAGTGCTGCTCCAGCAAATAAAGTTTGTTTCAAGTACCACCCAAGGTGTAATAAATTCTTGTTACTGCCTTTTATTAGGCCAATTACTGAGTGTGACAGAAAAGAATAGCAAGACTAGAGAGGCAAGCCAAAACCACAGCAGTGTTTCAAAGTCCTGGGAAAAAAAAAAATTCTAAAGGTAGCAGGACTGTGTGAATTCATTTCCTGGCAATTTTCACCATAATGGTTATAAATATTTTACCAACATAATAGCCTAGTGTAGAAAACAATTAATCAGCAAAATAAAAACTCCTGAGAGAAATAAATTCTACCTGGCTGCCTCTTTCAAATGGTGAACAGTAGAATTTAGGGCACTGCTTTCTTGGAGAACCTCTTTCTGCTGAGGCAGCAGGTTCTGCAGGACAGTACCCAGCCTCCAGAAGTGGGTAGGAAAACCAGGACTTCATTTCTAAAAAGAAATAGGATTCTAGAAGACTACTCTGAAGATGCTGATGACATCAGAGCTGCTGCCTCTTCAGTCTGTTGCCCTGACCCTCCAGCATGTAGCCAGATTGCTGTTCACACTTGCTCTCATTTGTGGGCTAAATAAGGTAAGGCAGAGAGAAATTAAGTGCTCTGCTGGTTGCCAGCCATGCCTACATGAGATTGCAGGTGTATTTTAGAAGTATGCTCATGAAATAAACAGAAGAGTACACTGATCAGAACTTAACAAGGAATATAAATGGTAATACAGGTGACATACAGAGCTGGAGACTACCTAAAACCAAGTGGATTTCTGATTTTAAAATGGGGAATTAAAATTTTCTTGTAGTACCACAGACCAATTCAGATTGTGTAATTATTGCAAAGAAAGTGATTTAATTGTGATTATAAACTCAAGGCTTTGTGAAAGTGCTAAGTAAGCATGTTATGCTCATTTGGATGGAAGGGATTCTGCCAGCAGTGATGAAGAGTAATGAATATAAGACTATAATCAACTCAGCTACATTTCAATTTCATATACTTGGGATCTTTTAAACCAGGGCAGAGTATATGGCTTTCCACATATTTAGATATAATTTGTGCATTTTATCTTCCTTCACCTATTAATAAAGTTACAATTTTACACAGGAATCCATTCAGTGGAAAGTCTTCTTATCAATCATGCTTTTCTTCAGTTTCATTATTTTTTCCTCTAAACTCCAGAGAACTTTACTAAATGAAAATTTCAGTCTAAGTTTCTGCTGCTGTATTCCAAGTATATTTCTAAAATTGTATGCATCTTTGAGAGAGATTGCAGCACTCAGCATGACTTTACCTGCAATTTTTTACTTAACTCAGTGTAAAATGAAGGCAGAACTTGTTCCCCATTTCTGAAGCTGTGAAAAACAACAGATTCCTTTTCCTGAGCATGCAGTAGGATCTCTTCATGATAACATGCAGTTGCAGCATCTGCTTTATTTTTCACCAGAAAATATAGATCCCTTCCAACATATTGAGGTTTCTTGGAATGGGTATCCTCTCTCTGCAAATGTCTGTAAAATAACAACACATTCATGATACTGAAAAAGGCCAACCCAATCCCTAGGCTAGGATTTTTCTTCTGTATCAAAACACAGCAAAAGAAACCTACTATGGAATTATAATTTTCTGCCTGATACTTCTTTCCTGGAAGGTTTCTCATCTAAGAACTGACCAGGATTTAGATTGCCAAATTGTCCAGATTATAGTTCAGAGTACAGCGACCCTAAAACTAGAATTCATCTCAGATTTATTCAGTTATATTAGTTCCAGCTGCTTTGCTAAATCAGTCACTCCTAGTCAACTTGCTGTTCCTGTGTTTGCACCTAGAGAATTGGTTCTGATCCAGGATCCACCTGTTTAACATCTGAAAATGGGGCAGCTTGGAGAACTGCAGATATTTCCACTTCACACCAGCCATCTTTATTACAGGGAAATTAAGAGAGAGGCATCTGTCCTCGTGCTGCCTAATTGTTTTAAAAACAAACTATTCAAATGGAAAAAAAATCTAGTCAGATGCAAATTGACCCCATATATTGCCCTCAACAAATAATTGATGTAATATTTTATTATGACATAGCCACAGGTGAGAAGTTATTTTATGTAGTGAACAGAAAAAAAAAAAATAATGTGCAAAAGACTCCTCAAATTTAGAAAGAGCTCTTCTGCTTGCATATAATTTTATACATCTTTCTCATAACTCCAAGACACCAGGGGGATTTGTTATAACCTCATTGGGATTCTAGGTTTATTAAACCATTGAATTAACTAGATTCATCCATGCGTGCAGTTTATTCACCTGTGAGAAATGTGAGTAATATCTTTCATAGAATATGCAAGACCAGATTTTCAGGCAACCTTCAGCCTAGCATTCATGTTTGTCCTTGCAAATGCAAAGTTACAGATGTAAATATTAAGACATAATCAATTCGTTCCCAAGAAAAACTGTACATTTAATTATTTATGGATGAAAACATTTATCCACTACAATGCAGATCTAGTATTATAAATCAGAAATTTTATATTAGCCAACAATACCTTTCCAACACTCACACAGTATCAAAAATAAGGGGATATAAGTATATGCAACACAAACAAGTAGAAAGGCAGCATTTTGCACCATATGGTTCACTTCATTTAATGAAATGAAAGTTCATCACCAGAGCAGTATGTTCACCAAGACACCATTTTGCCATAATATGCAACAGATAAAATTCCAGTACAAAGCATATGTTTCCCTTAATTGTTTTTCTGGCCATCATTATCTATGCAGACACAAACATACAGACAATGAAATACTGGTTGAGACTTTTTACAGCCTCAAATAGTACAGAGAAGATTAATTTATGTAATTGAGGCCTAAAAAGATTGTAAAGGCTTCAGGCTTGAATTTCTGCATACATTGCTACCCAGTGCTCTTCTGTGAGGAGGACTGGGCTGAAGATCACACCATGGGAGGCAGTGTATGGGAGTCCCAGAGCAGGGTGTGGGCCTGGCAGCAGGGGCACATCTCACATGGGGACGTGCCAGGCACCACTCCCCCATCAAAGCCTTGGCAGCTGCGTTTGCAGATGTGCTTCTTCCAGTCCCAAGATACCTCCTGAGCACACAGTGCTACCCCGGACACTGCTGGACACATGCTCAAGGCTACTGTTGTCACTGGAAATACACTTCCTGTACTTGAAGCAAGCTGTTGTTGAGAAACTGAAGTAATAGCAATGTTTTCTGGGGGGGGAAGAGGGTCAGAGGTGGGTTCTGGGGCTATGCTTGTCTGTTTAGAGAAAGTGGTTTGGGATAACTATTTTCCATTTCTTACCTAGTGTAATTTTCACTCAAGTATTTGTGACATCCAAGAACAAATAAGTAAATTCTAATGTTTAAATATACGAACATGACTTCTCATGAATGAACAAAAAAAAATTTCTCTGATTTCTGATTTAGCTCCAGTGAACGAATGGATTTTTTTGAATAAATTTTTTTGGTTAGGACATTGATTGTTTTGAGATTAACACATTCTCTGCATTCAGAAGTACAATACTATTCCTCCACAAAACTACCTGGTGAGATGTGGATCATTCAGGCCATTACTCTGACAGTTTGTGTAAGGCATATTTTAAGTTCCCTGGTTTTAAGAAGCCTTGATCTAGCTGATGCTTTCACATCTCTCAGTGGCTATATTCAGTGTTACCTGAACAGATAAATTAAAACATTTCAAGCCTTGTACATATACTAAAAACATGGCTCACTTTGCACCTGAAAATAATTGTAGATGCAAAATTAGTGGCTGCTGCCTATATTATATTGGCTGTTTGCAATTGACAATGCCAAGAAATCTCCTTCAAAGGCTTGCATCCCTTTGACTGGATTCTACAAATACATTGAATGAAAAAATGTCTTTGCTTGCTATAACTAAATAAATACAAGGCTAAGTCATTCTTACAAAATTCTAATGGTACTTAAAGTGAAAGCACTTCCATGTATCACAAGTGAGATAGTTCAAAAACTCTCAAAGTTACAATAGGGCTAGACTTTTATTCTCTACAGTCTGTAAATGTTCAGATACTTCAGGTATCTTTTTAAGAGAGATGAAGAAAGTGATTCAGAGAGGTAAATGAAGTTGCCTGTAACAACTCAAGAAGCACCTGGGAAAGTCAAGGAACAAATTGACCATGCTCAAGCTTCACAGCACATTGAATATGAATAGTGTTACACTACAAGAGCATTGAAAAGTTCTTGGTAGCTTTGGTTACAACTACCATTATATGTAGCAGTAGTATACACACAACATAATATTTTTATGCATAACCTATATTAGTAATTAGAAAACACAACTTCACACCTCCTCCCTCATTTTATAATAAGGATCAAATCAAATTTTTCTCACAAGTAACAAGCAAGACAAACAGATATATCCCAAATGGTATGAAGATATTCCTTACCTGAACAGGTAACTATTCTT